TTGAAATGCACAATATTGTTATTAAATGAGTTATTTTGTGGAAAATAATTTTTGGTTTTTTTTTCTGCATCTTTATACAAAAAGTGTTGTAAACTTTCCAAGAAAGCAAGATAGTATTATGATTTAAAGTAAACTATTTGAAGAGATGTGTAGAATATGCACAAAAAATTTTTCAGATGAAAACTGTAAGAAAAAGCCCATTCGAAACAACTACTTTCAAACATGAACATGAAAATAATTTTTTTCTGTTCAGTAGGACGGTAGCCTTGTGGGTTGACGTGGGTGGTCAGTTTACTCAGTCAATCGATCGCTGTGCGAACCGGTGGTTCAATCCGCAAGGCCGAACGACGATTTTCACTTCCTACCGTCCAAATCTCAAATCATATTAGAATCAATCATATTGAAAAATGAAAGTCCGAACTAGTAAAATTCAAAGTACTTTGTGATCCCCAACTAATGTTACTGAACATTTTTGGAGGTAAAATATCTATGAAAATTCTCGCAGTACTCGAAACGAAAAACATAAGGTACCACTAAAGTATAAAACCACATTTCTTCATTTATTGAAGAGTATCAGGGTAATTACAGATATTACTTACTTATTTGGTTTAATGACAGTAGTTCATAATTGTTCTAATCTTTATAATGTACAACATAAACTAAGACAGTGAAGAAATTAACACAAATTTTTGTGTTTTCAGACTCATCATTTTCTTACGACCAATCCAAAAACCTTCATATGTGCATGAAATGTAACAGAGGCTATAAATACAAGAAAAGCGTTATTGCACATATCAAGTATGAATGCAGCGTGCCTAAACAGTTTGAATGCGACTCATGTGGAAAATCGTATTCTCAGAAAAGATATTTGAGGTACCACTTGAAAATGCACCATGGATTGAATAGAAAATAAAAAATATTCAGTATTTGGACTTTTTTCAATCAAAAGTTTGTTTCTGATTTTGTTTTTCAGAAAATTATGTTTTTGAAAGAGCTCTAAGTAATAATAATAATAATAATATGGTCCGTGACCATGAGAGAGCAGAAATAGGAGCATTTCTCTTTAGGACAGCTGCCCGAGCAGCTGATGGACTCGCTATAGTTTTCGACACTGAACGAGGTGACCACAACTCTGTCACCGAGTTGGAACCCGTTTAGCAAAAAGCTCAGATCAAAGCCGCAGAGATCACCTTACTTCTGCGGAAACACAAGGATAAGCTAATGCATGGGGTCTTCTTCAATAACATTGGAGACCTTGGCTTATCAAAGCGCCTGACGTTCGCTTTTTTCAGGTCGAGTGGGCTGAAGTCAAAAACTGAGGGGTTCATCATGGCTTGCCAGGATGGTGTCTTCAACATTTAGTCTACCGCAGTCGCGTGATGGGTATAGAGGTTCCTGACACAAGGTGTAGGGCCTGCCGCGAGGCGCCTGAGACCCTAATGCACTTGATATCAGCATGTCCAGCATATGCGGTCTCGGCCTATATTCATCGACATAACGCGGCCCTAAGAGTACTATATTACCATACACGGCACTCTTACGGTATTGACGAGACACCGGGTGTTGCCCTACGCTCCGGGGGATATTGAATCCGTTGTGGGGAACGAGAAGTGCCGAATTTATTGGAACTATTCGGTCCCCACCCTCAGGCTCATACAAGCTAATAAGCCTGATGTAGTCCTTCTTGTCCACCAGAGCAAAACGATATTTGTCGTGGAGTTTTCAGCTCCTGGCGAGACAAATATCGTCAGAAAAGAGGAGGAAAAACGGATAAAGTATCGAGATTTTCTCTTCAAACTCCGCAGACTCTATCCAGATCGCTCTGTCAAGATGGTTGTTCTGATTATTGGAGTCCTTGGTGGAATGATGTCCTTTCGATTCTCAAAATCATACCGGCTTGCCGCACTAAGGCAGAAATCTTAGCCGCACAGATGCAGAAGGCTGTCATTCTTGGCGCACTAAGGCAGAAATCTTAGCCGCACAGATGCAGAAGGCTGTCATTCTTGGCTCACTGCTCTTGCTCAGGGCAAATGATTTTTGGGCCCAATGATCACTCACCCCACGGTGTGGGGAGTGGTCATTGGTAGATAATGCTGGCGCGCCCTCCCGAATGTATCGGGGCTTCGGGGGATAGCGCCTGACCAGCGCACACTACGATAATAATAATAATAATATTTATTCTCCATTAGACACAGATAACATGTATTGGAATCGTCAAAGTACACATGACGCAATGACACAAAATTCACAGTGTGAGCAACACCGTTGTTATTAAAACAATAACAACAAAATTAAAATAAAATAAAATAAAGCACAGATACACGTACATATTACGAATCGTAAAATTCTTGCATATTATGAAAACATTTCTCAATCAAATAATTGTTCAACAAGTTACTGCATTTATTGAGGTTTGTTATATCTTTCAGACACCTACAGAGCTCATTGAAAATAGTAAGACCTACCGCTGATGGATAATTTAATGATGTTTTATATTAACGAAACGGAACATGGAGATCACGTTTCTGTCTAGTGTTCACATTATGAATACTTCCATTTGAAGGAAATCTATTCTTGTTTTTAAAAACAAAGATTGACAGTTCAATAATGTACATACACGATAGTGTTGAAATTCAAAATTATTGAAATATATCCCTACAAGAAAATGTACTAGGAACTCCTGTTACTCCTGTTTCTTTTCTGTACAATAAACACATCTGAAGCTAGTGTAGAGTTACCCCATGTACATATGCCATATCGCAACCTTGACGCAACTTGCGCGTGATAGAATGATAATAGTTGTTGTTCTGTTAGAATGTTTTTGAGGTTCCTGAAAAGGTAACAATTTGTTCATCACGAGGGTACAGTGTTTTTTCCAAGTCAGACATGCATCCATGGTTATCCCCAGAAATGCTGTATCATCCGAACTGTTGAGTGTTTGATCATTTATTTGAATTTGTACTTTTTCACACTGTCTTTGACGATTGTGGAATCTCACCAACTGAGTTTTTTCAGCATTGAGGTGCAATTAATTGTTTGCGCACCAATTCACAACTGACTTCAGAGTACTGTCACACTTCTCAAACAGCGTACATCATTTTATAAATGAATCTGTGATGGAGTTATCGATTTCATTTATATAAAAAAGGAATAATATCGGACCTAGAACAGATCCTTGTGATACACCCATCGTGACGTCCAAACGCTCAAAATCAAAAGTAGTAGTGGTAGACTCACTATGATATTTCAAGCTAACAAACTGCTGTATATTCTTCAGAAACTATAAAGTCCAGTCATAGGCAACAGTCGAAAATCCTGCTGAGGTCACAGAATATGCCAACAGATCATTTTCCTGATTCCAGAAGCATTGAAACTGTTTCGATAAATTAAATTATTGCAGTGTTTGAGGATTTCTTTGTGCTAAAACCATGTTGTTTATCTGAGAATATTCGATGTTTTTTTGGCATTTCAGTAACCTATCTAAATAGGAGTACTCAAAAATCTTGGAAAAAACTGGACTTATCGTAATTGGCCTATAGTTTTCCAGTTTTTCTGGATCCTGCTTTTTAAAAATTGGGACAACTTTGCCGACTTTCAATATTTCCGGAAATGATCCAGTTAGAAATGACAGGTTGACAAGTAAGGTGAGTGGCATTATAATGAAGGGATGAGATTTCTTGATGAGAAATAACAGAACTTCATCTGGGCCAGATGAGTAGTTGTTTTTGATTTTATTGCTAATCAAAAAAAGTAATTCCTCTGGTATAAAAGGCTCTAAGAAAATGGAATGCGAATTCGTATTTATGGGACGATTGTTTAGTTCATCATTTACTTTTATTTTGCTAATAATTTGTGAAGGACAATCAATGAAAAATTCATTGAATAAATTAGATAAATCACCTGGGTTATCTTGTAAAGAGCCGTCTTTCATTATTTGAATAGTTTTTGCGTTTCCCTTCCTATTTGGAAGTTTGGATATTACAGGATATTTCAGGATAGACCATTAGAACTATGGATTGATGATTATTGAAAAAAAATAATAATATAATCAAATATATCACACTCAGAAACAATTTGGTGAATTGACGCCGTACATTTCACTTCAACATAGGCCAACACGTCTACTTTTTCTTCACTGACGATGAAGTAATTGGCATTTTCTTCTGGTTCCTTTCGCATTTTTCTTTCCAGTTTTGGAAAATAATGCCGAGTGGGATGGCGACGATTAGGGAACCTCTGAGCATACATTCAAGCTTCATCAGTTGCATTCTTTTTTGTATCTCCGTAAATTAGAAACATGTCAATTTTCTCGTTTCTAGTATAATTTGCCATACCTAATTATAAACTACACAACAAATAAATTTTCAAAAGTGATAGCATATTCATTAGCATATTTGTTTAGGTAGTCCTAGCAACAGCTTCAATTGTTTGTCAGGGATAACTAAAATAACAAGACTTAGTGCATAAGTATCCGAATACATATTATTTGTTATAAGGTATGATCGTTTCTTGCAATTATTCATGAAAATAAAAGAAATTAAATGAAAATGTGTGTCATCAAATTATTCTTAAGAAAATGATCTTTCACAAATAGCCCACGAGCCACCCGTTTTCCATTTGAAAAAATTAGGTTAGCTTGCGACTGTGAAATAATTCTTAAAACGACTGTGAAGTCATAAGCCTCAAAATCGTAGTTTTCCCATGTTACTTGATCAAGAATAAAGCGATTTACACGCTCCATGGCATTCTATGGTTATGTATTTTTCATCTAGGTAAAGTGCTTAATCAGACATGAATAAATTCGAGGGAGATAGGAAACAAAATTTTTTTTTCTCTCATATCAAAACAAATGACCACCTTCTCTATAAATTAAATTCTGGATATTCACTAAAATCCTTAAATCTTTATGAGAATTCTAGAAATCTTAAAATTTTGAATAAATCTGGCAACATCGCTTCATTGATATCAAGCCATCGTCTTCCTTTGATCTGATAACTGACGTCACTAAAGACGTGGTGGCGGGAAGGTTGTGTTTAGAGTGTTCACATAAGTAATTGTTTTGGTAAGATGATTGTGAGGAATTTCAACTTGAAGTGGTTTTTCAATGTGCATAATATGTGTCCAGTGTATCTGACTATTTCCGAGTTTTTGGCAGAAAATAATTATTTTGTGGGAAGATAACCTAACCTAACTTTCCATTCGTAACACATTGGCGTACTATCAGTTTGGCCAACAAAAACGGAACAGCTGATGATTTGTTGGTGTGGGGGCAACAGGCGCAAAAATGTATTTCTTGAATACATTTTGTGAAGTGTAAGGGGTTTAAACATAGGTATTAGTAGGATCTATGGTAAATATTTTTTGTTTTTTTTTGAGAACTGAATTCATTCCCATCATATACTTAATTTGCTCAATATAATGCGTTTTAAAATATCCTAACCTAAATTTTTTTTGTTCACTCAAAAGTAATTTTTGAAGTATCAAATGGCCTTCAGTGATTTTTTGTTAATTCTATTGATTGATAAAGAGGCAATGCCGTGACATTCAAGAATTACGTCAAGAATATATGTATTTATCAAAGAAATTTTTCAAATAACTGAATAAACTGGGTAGAGTATCGTTCCGAAAAACTTAAAAATATTTAAATTTTGAAATATGGTAACGAACATATTTGACTCAGCGACGTCAAAATGGGAATTGAATTCGTTGCCAGCCCAAAAAAACTCAAATGATCTGAAATTTAGACGATTGAGTAAATGAATTATCAATTAAGACGAGGGAAAGAAGGTGAAGTTATTATTGTCGGACCGAAAATCAACCTGTTTATATTATCATTTTTAAGTTTATAACAACAAACCTTTTATAGATGGAGATTTTTTTCCATACTCAATAATATTTCATTAATTGAATAGAACTGGCCGATACTTAATGAAAATTCATTTTAAAAAAACTAATTGATACAGTTTATTGTTTGATTTTCACTATAAAGGGTTTTACAAAAACCGCGACACGTGTTTCGCTATACAATAGCGAAATTGAAAGTTACTTCTAAACTACAACCATTTTATACTCTAACCTATTACATGCTCATTTGCCTAATGAATCAATCTACCTGAAAAGGTCATTTATGAATTCATTACCTATATCAATAAATTTTTCGAAAGTATACCTGTAAATATACCCAACTATTTTTACCTGCAAATGAACATATAATAATGGCAATAATGGCGGTCTAATATATTCTTTATTATCAAAATAGTTATACAGTCAAGCTTTGAAAGAAGTTTACCCAGTTCGAAGAGAAGAGGATAAAGATAGAGAAGAGGATAAGAGTTATAGAACCTTAACCTACTTAGGCCAACCCACTACAAATATTTTAGATTTTCTGCACAGCAAAGGTGTAAATACTGCTTTCAAAACCAACAACAACTTAGGCATGCACATTAAGAATAACAAAGGTAAAAGTCCAGTTTCAGAAAAATCAGGAGTGTATAAATTATCGTGTGGGTCATATCCGATGTTTTATATAGATCAAACTGGTAGAGCGTTCAAAACCCGCATAAAGGATCACAAATATAGTTTCCAGAATGGAAAATGCCACTCATTTAACCTCAGAGAGACATGAGTTCAATCATGAATACAAGCTCCTCCATTTCTAGAAGGAAGGTTTGAAACTTAGCTTATTGGAGAGTAAGGAAATAAACAAATTCAAAAACTCTTAACATCTTATGAACGATCAAACTGAATTGACTAATTCGCCATTATCAAATCTGTTCATTTGCAGCTGAATATAGTTAGGTATATTTACAGGTATACTTTCGAAAAATGTATCGATATAGTTAATGAATTCATTCCTGACCTTTCAAGGTATATATACTCATTAGGCAGACAAGTAGGTAATAGGTTAGAGTATGAAATGGTTGTAATTTGGAAGTAACTTTCAGTTCATGCTTGAGAAAGCTATTGTATAGCGAAACACGTGTCACGGTTTTTGTAAAACCCTTTAAAGTAAACTGTATTAATCAGTTTCTTTAAAAATATTTCATTCAGCGTACCAAAGCGTACCAATAAGAAAAAACATAAATCCTTTGAAACTTCAATATATGTTTTTTTAAATTGGGTTCAGTATTCAGAGGAAGCTGCGGTGTTAGCGAAACGCGTCAAGAAATTAAAATGTTTAAGAAAAGTGTGTAATTATATAATGGATAGGTCAGTCTATTCATAATATTTCACTAAATTCAGACATGCACTATTTTCTGTAACAAACTTGCCTGAATTCAGTTTAACGTAATATGAAATCAACTACAGTTTTATCCGAATTCAAATAATATTATTTTCGAATAGAATACTGTAACAAAAACAAAAAATATCATACATACGTACATACATATAAACAAACATATCAAACATAGTCCTAGTTCAGAACTAACGATTTTTCAAATCTTCGGAAGTGAATAGGAATCAAACCTGCGTCCAGTAATTTCATGACTAAAATTCAATAATTAACGACCTAACAATTTGCGGTTGCTATCAATTTATGGGTAATTAATGTCACCAGAAGCTACGTCAAACTGAACAAGTTGATGTTCATCTTTCACCCGCTCTTCAGAACTTTCTATATTTATAACTTTTCTAAAAATTAAACATACATTTTGATAATCGAAATATATTCTATCACAAAAACGACCTACAGATCACCTATATGTTTCGATAAATAAGAACGATGACATCTCCCCTTACGAAGACGCCATCTATTGGATCGGCAGAGAACTAACTCAATACTGGAATATCAAAGATAAACGAGCCTTTGACATTGACCGCCGATGATATTTGTCCTCTGTCTTTCATTGCAAGGCAACCAGTTGCAACCCAGTGGCCAAATACAATGCATTTATGGTTCAACACCAGACAGCACTGTTTCGACCCGCCATAGGTCTCATCAATAGTGCTAGAATGAACCGCAAATGCATTTCTGGACTCAAATGTCCTTGAAGAATTAGATGACGTTTTCATAAGGGGAGATGTCTTTCTTTTGTCTTTCTTTTTCTGATGTCATATGAGTCGGTGGATGTTAACCATAATAATATTGAATTCTCACTATATCCGTAATGAAATCGGCCGATACATGATGAAAATTCATGACGTATTAAAGAATAACTTTAATGTGAGATTTTCACCAAACGCAACACGTGTTTCGCTGTATATTAGCTTCTTGAGGCGTAACTGTACTAACTAAAATTCACATATTCAATGCTTTACAAATTGTAAAATATAATATGTAGATTTTAGTTAGTATAGACACGCCTGAACAAGCTATTATGTAACGAAACACGTGTTGCGTTTTTGTAAAACTGTTTAGTGAACATCTCACAATAAAATGTTTCTTGAATACTATATCTGTTTTATGGATTTTGGTCTGTTGAACTTTCCTGTTTGGTGCATTACTCATGAATGAATTTGTTCGATTGATGAATTATTTATTTTGTAGGAATTCAAATTGAATATAGGATAAAGAAAATAACTTTTGTCTGATTTTCACTATTTTTTTTTATTTGTTATGACCGGTTTCGGTTCGTTAAACTATTTTCTTGTGAAATGAAGAGTTTAAATGGCCTCCGAGATCACCGGATTTAACATCCTCAGATTTATTTAAGGGCATCTCAAATCCGTTGTTTATAAAACACAACCTTCTATGAAATTGACGTGTTTTCTCGATTCCCCATTTTATTTACTGGAAGGAAGATATTAAGGGTGGAAAGTTTTCAAATTGACACCCTATATGTATATATAATTAGACGAGTTGTACTTTGCAACATTAGGCAGTCAATATTTGTTTTATTTTAATTTAATGTATTTTGGTAAACATTTTCATGGAATGTCTGCTTAGTATTTCAGACTAATTCGATTCAACTCAGTCAACTTAAGGAAGAAAACAAAATTACAACTTCATTGTTGAAAAAGGATGAGAATATTTTCGTCTATGGACTACCAGATAATTTTCCCGTTCAATTACCCGTCAGTTGTCGAAAGGATTTCGATCTTTTAGAAAAATATCTAGAATCTTCAAGATATACTGCTCAGCTGGTCAGTTTCTTTAATATTATGTATTAGTTACTTTCATTCGTCTGTAATTACAATCAATCCAGTTTTACTCATGATGAAAACTATTTTAGAGATTGTATTTTTCTCGTCAAGGTGGGAAAAATTTCATATCAACTACAAACAGAATATTAAGAAGTATTTTAACCGATGAAGTTGCTAGCAATTTCAATTTTTATGGAAAAAGGTCGGTTAAATTCCTTTCAGCAACACCTCAACAAAAAATGTTATTGTAGGTAAGTATGGATGGATCTAGACTATCTAGAGAATGAAACATAAATATAGTACAATTCAATAATAGTAGGCAGCAAATTCTCAGAAATACTATTACATTAAAACGCAAACAATGTTGTCAAATTTGTGATTCTATATATTTTATCATCATTTTTGTCATCTGTTCAGTATGATTTCCTTACACTACTGCAAGAGACAAATCGAAGCAAAAACGTCAGTAATTTCTGAGAATTTGGTGCCTACTATTTTGGAATTATAGTATACTTCATCTGAAAACTTTCCAAAATACTGAAAATGAAATTTGGAAAGTTTCTGTTGTTCTATTGGAAGATGAGGATCTTTTCAATTTAAGAATATTTTTTTGAACCTGATTTTCTTCAAAATTCAAAAATAATAGCAGTCAATGAAGTATACAATATTTCAGGAGCAGTAAAGGAAGTCACCAATTCAAGGAATGATAGAAAAATTGAGGACGCCATAAAAGTTTGGCTGAAGCACGCTCCACAACGCCTAAAAACCACATTGTCAAAAAAAGCATAAATTTTCACTTGATAAGTAAACAATGAATATGTACCAGATGATGTTTTTATATATGTTAATAAACTCAAACTTTCACGAACTTGATGTAGTTTGTTGCCATAGTATAATTTTAATCCTGAATCTTAGAATGTTTATTTTGAATAGAAAAAGTGAATATGTCACTGAATTACGAATTATGAATATAAATGTTTGTTAACTTTATTAAGTTGAACATCGTTCAGAAGCAATGTTGAAAACGTGTTCTGAGTGCAGTGTTTATGCGAAATTTTCAATTTTCGCATATATTATATTTGTTTGGGTGAACTTTCCTTCAATTTTTTTTACGTAGTGATATTTTTGTTATAAAAGGTGTGTCGAGTTACCAGTGCCATCGGATTGGTATAGGTATGAGTTCAAAATGAAATAGTATAGTTTATTATATTTTGCTGTTACATCTGATATAATTTAATTCAGAACTAATCGTTTTACATACGATGAAAGTTTTGCTAGTCGATATGGATAGGCAATATTGTGAAATTAATTTTTATATAGCTGAAAATTGTTTTATATAAACATACCTATATTGTAAAATAATAGATAGGGCAAAATTGTAAAATTAATTTAGGTTGGTATACCTGTATGGGTGGTACGCCTTGATGCTTTACCTGTATGGGATACCTATATAGCATAAATAGGGTTAGCTCGCATTAGTTTCTAGTTTTAATCTTCCTCTTTGAAGATGATCACTTGGTGATCGAAACACGTGTCGAGGTGTTAAAAATAACGATTTGGTGTTGGGGAGAAAACTCCAGTAATATTTTTTTGCAAGTATTCAATATTATGAAAGCTAATTGTGTTAAGTGTTATCTCAATGATAACAAAACTAAAGCAATACACTGATATTGGAGAGAAAAATAGTTGTGACAAGTTATATAATTTGTGGCACCTTTCAATTGGTTATATCTGCATTTCTAGAACACAGAACTGTCTAAGACAAAAAGCAATCAACATTCGGAATATCATGAATATCCTATGAAAAACATTTTTTGTGGAGAAGTCAATGTTTTTTATATATAGCATTATATTTCATTCGCGATTGTGAAACTGTGAAACTGATTTTTTCCTGAAAAAATTCCTGATGGCTGGGATTGAATCAACTAACTATGTGAATGTTTTTAATAACTGTTAGTGTGACGCAGAGCAGGTGAGTTCGATTGCGGATTGAGTGCATAGTCTTTCAAAGTTACCAAAAGCGGGGGAGCTGAGGAAAGGTATGTTCGCCCGAATTTCCTGGAGACTGAACATTTTCCATGTAATCAAAATTGTATATCAATTCTCTGCCATACATCATATTGTATAAAGTGAAACTGACCGAAAAAATTATTTCCAGTAATTCAACGTTAAAATTATTTTAAAGTGGTCATTTCGGATGAGTTGATTGTTTCTCCAGTTTGTATTGGGAATTTACTTTTGTGCAATTTCTATCTTCGTGAAGAGTTTTTATTGACTTTGTTGCGTTAGTGTCTATATTCATTGGACTATCGTTCTGACTATTCGCACTCGACTATCAAATTTTTGGTAACGCGATTCCATTCATACTTCTAAATATCTTACTTTTCATTCTATCTAATACATTGGTTTCAATACATTGGAATGGAACCCCCTAGTTACATTTCATGCTATATTTAATATGTATTTGAATTACACATACTCCGTTTTAAACTTGTTATTGTTAATTTTTTGTGTAAAATATGTTTACTTCATTCATATCTAGTGTGAAACATAATTTTCGTCGATTGCAGGAGCCATTTTTTTTTGCGGGAAATGTGGAAAACAGTTCAAAACCAAGAAAACATTGCGTCAACATGACAGGTTCTATTGTGACACCCAACCATCATTTAAGTGTCCACGATGTCCATATAGGGCTCAAACTTCAGGAAACCTAAGAAGACATCAGTTTCAGCTTTCACATTGCAATAAGAAGAAATTATCGAGAATCTGAATGTATCCATTGTTATATCAATTTTGAGTTGAATATAGGGCTGAACAATTTAGCGCTTAATTTTTTTTCTTTCCACAAAATAGTATCAGTTACTTTATCTCACTAAATTACGATACTCAAAATGAATAGGTTACTCTCCATCGAGTATAAGTGACCATATAGACCAGGGGTGAAGTCTTCAAAAATTGTTAAAATTTAAAAAAATAATAGTAGGATGAAACCTATTAGAAAAGGAGGGAAATATGATAAAAATTGAAAGAAAAATAAATTACGAGCGATCTGAGTTCAGGAAGAGGGGGGGTGAGTTTTTAAGGGTAAAAAATGGTTTATCTCGATTTCCGGCAAAACTACAAGTCCTATGAAAAAAAATTAAATGGCATGGATGTAGGTAATAAACAGATCTACATTTGTTTTTTAAAAAAAAATTCTACGAAATTCGGTGAAAACTTACCTTCTTATGTTCCATATATACTGTAATTCATTTGATTTAAAATATTTAATTTTCCACCTTATTTTGACTTAATATCAAAAAAATCACCCTAATTTTCAATCGAAAATTCTTGCGTCAAAATATCAGCTTTTTTCAAAATGTAGGTGTGCTTTTTGTTCGTTGAAATCTCTACTTTCTGATGGTGTAAAAAAATATACATTACTTTAGTAAATGCTCCCAGAAAAAGCAAAAAGTCGAAAAAAACTCGATTTCGATTTTTTTCATTCATTACGTACAATTTTGAGCTACTTATTGTAATTTACACTTTAGTTACACAAAAAAACGTTAGATTCCATGTTACATTAATAAACGAAAAATTAGCAAATCGAAATATACTACTATAATTAACAAAGGAATAAGTTAATGAAGTTGATATTTAATAAGACATCTACAATGTTTTGAGAAGGTTGTAGGATATTCTTCAAATAATATTCGAAGATTCCTATTTATTGCTGTTTCAAAATAATTTATATACCTGTAGACCTACGGAAAATTTTAGCCCATTGAAAGATATTTCATAGAGAAGTGGGGAGAGAGCTAGGAGGGTCTGGGCCTACTTTAACATCGGCTTTTAATCATCGAACTTGTCGAAGTCAATATAATGATCAGACTGCGATAGTTACATTCTGTAGTTCAAGACATAGGAAATCATAGGAAGGAAAAGAAATAAATAAAGAGACTCTCACATTCAATTAAATATTAAATTAATATGTTAATATGAATATGTTTAATATTTATAACAAAAGAACTGAAAGAAGAAGGGGTCACTCAGCATGTAAAAACACTAAGATGTTTATTAATTATCTTATTGATTATATCGTTGACAACGAAACAGGATGTCAATTTTATGTCTATGAAATAAAAGAGGGATTTTCAGGAGATCTCCCAGATTACACAACTATCAAAAATAAATTGAAACAGCTTTTTCAGAACGATATTGGGTGTCATTTAATTGAAAGAGATATAATAATTTTATACAAAAATAGTACTGCAAGTAAGACGAACGAATTGTCCAAAAAGATATACGTTCAAAAGTATACGATATGAATTACTACAAAATTACAGATTTGAACGAAGGCAATATTTTTAAGGATGTTCCTGATACTTTGAAAGTTTTTTTAAATATTGTGTGTAAAAGTAATGAAGAAAAAAGTACAAATAACGTTTGTAAGATGAAAAATTGCAGCAATCACATTTTTTGATGAAATTGTACACAATGATTAAAAACAAATTTAGAATTCGATTTTTTTCGATTTTTTGTATTTTCTGAAAACATTTACTATAGTAATGTACATTTTTTTACATCATCAGAAAGTACAGATTTCAACGAACAAAAAGCACACCGCAAAATAAGGTGAATAAATGAAATATTTCAAATCAAATAAATTACCGTGTATTTAGGACATAGAAAGGTAAGTTTTTATCAAATTTCCTAGAAAAAAAATGTTTCAAAAGATTAAAATAAAAAACCAAAAACTTGGTTATTTGAATTTTTCACATGAATTTTGAGGTTATGTAAAAAATTGTGAATACGTACAACTTTGCCCTTCAAATTTTTTCCATAGGACTTTTTCATCCTTAAAAACTCACCCCCTCTCACTTTCCGAACTCAGATCGCCCGTAATTTATTTTTCCTTTCATTTTTATCATATTCCCGTCCTTTTCTGATGAGTTTCATCCTACTGTTTTTTTTTTGTTTAAAAAATTATGACCCTGGTCTAATAGTATAAGTGTAATGGCTGTCCTTCGACTACTGAAGGCATTTTCAAACAAGTTATCGATTCCACTTAGTGTGGAAAAGCTTTTCCATGCGGGTAAAACAGTTTTTAATGAACAACGAAGGCAAAAATAGTCTAAACAGTATTTTCGAAGATGATAAATGTTTAATTCAGATCTGAGACAAAAACCCATCTGAAATTATTAATTTTCTGACTCTGGGAAAGATCTTTTGATGAATGTTATTAAGGCTAGTTAGGATATTCCTCGAAATGAAATACGAAATTTTTTTTGGCCAAAATACTTGTGAGGGTTCATGTTACTTGTAGTGACATATAAAGAAATGTGCAAAAATTTCAAATCTGCGAATATAATCAAGTTCAAAAATCGTAACCAGTTGATGAATTTGGTTACAGGTATCGTGCCTTATTGAATTCACTTATTTTTGTCAGCTGGTCACAAATCACGTCGAAACGTGGCGTTCTGGCCTGAGCACATCACTAATGACATATCAAAATCTGCGCATACAAAAACGTACATGTTCGTTCATTTCCGCAATTGAATACAGTTTGTTAATTCAGACTTGCCTTAAATTGAAATGAGCTATATTTTTATGAGGAGTTAGTATTCGAGAAAGAAGATTTTACAATGTTCATGTGAAAATACTTGTTTCGAGAAGGCTTTTTCTTCCAGACAATATCTGAAAGTAACGTACACATATTTCTGAACATAACAGTTTCAACATGAGTAGAATTTGTCTTATTCGTAATGTTATGAATGCAATGAATGCTTCATCTTGCGATACAGGATTTTTCATTAAGCGCTTCCTATCTTTGAAATAAATAAAACGAAGTGTATGTGAGATATCGAAATTTTTCATTCGTTTGAAAGACCGACTGATACCATTATACAGGGTGTAACTGAATAAATGTAAAACATTTAAGGAGGTGATTCCTCATCCTCATATAACGAAGTTTCATTGGAGCATCCCTTGTTAAGATAAAGCCCTTTAAAGGGGGTACATAAAATTTGTATGACAATTTTTTTCACAAGCACTAAAAAAGTTACAATATTGAAATCAACCTGACGTTTTGTACTACCAAAAATTCATTTCCGATAGCCTGTTTCATTCTAAACAAAAAATGTATCTTGGGTTTTTTGCCCAAAATAAACCAGTTCGCAGCAAAAAAATATTTTAGGAATAACTACAGAGATACATCGTCATTAATGCGAAAATACGAAACTAATCTATCTAGTAGGTCGCTATTAGCGATAGTGACAATTAAATTGGTATGATGCTGTAAGTTTGTGAATTTTCGAAATTGAATTAATACTAATTGTGTGTTGTCGTTCTGTTCTTAATTTGTTACTTTAATAATTCATTTGTTATTAAAATGGCATACACAAATGAGGAAATGGCTGATATGCATTACGTTTACGGTCTGTCGCAGCGGAATGGGTTAGAAGCACTTAGAAGATATGCTGAAATGTATCCTCAACGGCAGCATCCTTCACATAGGATATTTGCTCGACTTCATCAACGATTACGAGAATATAGTTCATTCGACAAAAGAACGTAGGATTGTGGTCGCCATCGAGATGTACGAACACCACAGCTTGAGGAAGCAGTAGGTACTTAATTTGATTGAAGAACAATCTACTACCAGTACTAGAAAGATTGCTTTCTAGGTAAATGTTGATCGTATGACGGTATTTCGAATTTTGAAGGAACAACTCTTATACCCTTACCATCTGCAACGAGTACAGGCACTGTTACCGGGAGACTTTCCTAACCGTCTTGAATTTTGCAACTGGATGCTGGAAATGATTAGGAGAAATTGTGACTTTCTGAAGACGATAGAATTCACATACGAATGTAGTTTTTCTCGGGACAAGATTATTAATTTTCATAATTACCACATATGGGCAGATGAAAGCCCTCACGCTATTGTCGAAACTAACCATCAAGAACATTTTTCTCTTAACGTGTGGCTCGGATTTATTGGGGATGATTTCATTGGGCATCATTTTCTGCCTCCTCAATCAAACGGTGAGGCATACGTTTAATTTTTTAGAGAAGTGCATCCAGTACTGCTGGAGGAAGTTCCTTTGGGCGTCAGAGGGGATATGTTTTTTATGCATGATGGGGCTCCCGCCCATTTTGGACAAGATACACGTCAGCATTCAACTTAAACATATGCAAATCAGTGGATAGGTCGAGGAGGACCACAGAACTGGCCCGCTCGATCCCCGGATCTCAATCCTCTCGATTTCTCTATTTGGGGCCATTTACAGCATTTGGTTTAAGAAACTTAAGAAACGGCATCATCGATGCGCGCAGGGTAATCAGAGACACTCCAGGAATATTTGAGCGAATACGTGGCTCAATGCGCCGACGTCTAGACGCATGTGTAATGTCTGAAGGTAGACATATTGAACATTTACTATGATTTCTACATGTTGTGTGTTTTGTTATCAATAAATCAGTTTTGTTTATTACCGATTAATCGTTTAATGCAGGTACTAACTATAAAATAATAAATCAAGTTCGCATTTATGACGATGTATTTAAGTAGTTGTTCGTTAAATATTTTTTGCTGCGAACTGGTTAATTTTGGGCAAAAAACCCAAGAGACATTTTTTGTTTAGAAAAAAACAGGCTAACAGGAATCACCTCCTTAAATGTTTTACACTTATTCAGTTACACCCTGTATTTGTGGAATAGTGATGTGCCGAGTCGCTATTTTGATGGATTGAGTCGACTCGAGTCAGTTTATATGGTATTCAAATCATGACTCGATTCCCTGATTCGAGACCAGTACTCGAATTCTATGTTCGATATTCGA